CTGTTTTTTTTTTTTTGTGTGTGTGGTGTCTTCCATGTCATAACACAGATGAGGGCTCCATGTTTGTTCTTTGCTACTTTAATCATTATGTTTGAAGACTTTGTAAGTGACAAATCACATAATGTTCCAGTCACCTATTTAATATGTAAAATACAAGTTTTTTTTGTTAGCCATAGTCATCATCATCACCATTGTCAATGTTCAAATGCTTCTTCCTCAAAATAAACTTCAAAGCCATTCACAACCCCTGTCTTGTGTTATCCAGGCTGTACTTACTGAATAACCAGCTTGTACTGCTGCACTCCCTGTCTATATATAGATTCTTATATTCTCGACATTATCTAAGATTGGACTTGCAGGAATCTTGGTCTTTGATAATTTAACCTGTCTATATAATATTAATTTTATAGATGTATATTGTTTTTGTGTTTTATATGTGTACATACACATATAATTTCATTGAAGTGGCGTAATACCACTTGAAGTTGTAGCTGCCTGCTGTCTTGTTAACTCACTTCCACAGGGGATAAACACTGACACCTGGAAGTCAGTTAGATAGGGATGAAAAACAGTGTGTCTGTAGTCTGCCTGTCATAGCTGAGAGTGGGGAAGGGCTCCTCTGGGTGTGCACTTGTGAGCTCAGAAGCAGCTGGACTCTAGTGTCACACTTTTTTGTTCCCAGGCTTTTGTTTATATACAAAAGAGAAGGATGGATGATTTACAGGAAAAGGTAAAGTGTGTCCTCTAGGCCTGCTTTTAATGTGTCCCACAGGGTTTGTTGTTTGCTTTTCCATTTTTATTTAGTTCCAGGGATATTGTTTATTTCTTCTTTGACCTTTTAAATATTCGGAGTTGATTAATTTCCTTGAGTTTGTATATTTACTAGAGATTTGTTTGCTCTTATTTTTATGGTTTATTGCATTTTTGGCCCACTCAGATACGTGGTGTCATTTCAGTCTTTGTGAATGCGTTAACTTTGTTTTGTGTCCTAAAATGTAATCTAATTTAAGGAAGCTTTCACACGCTGCTGAGTAGAATGAGTTTTGTGTGCTATGTGTGTGTGCATGTGTGGTCATGTGTTCGAGTGCCTGAGCATGTGTATGGCTTGTTCGTGTGTGTGTGTGTGTGTGTGTGTGTGTGTGTGTGTGTGTTTGATTGTGTGCTTGTGCTTGCACGTGTGTGGGCTTGTGGTTGTGCACATGGGCATGTGGGCATGCCTGTGTGTGGGGGCGCTTGAGTATGTGTGTGCATGTGTGTGCTTGTGTATGTGTACATGCGTGTGTGTTTGAGTGCAATATTCTGTAGATATCTGTTAGGTCCATTTGATGTATAATGCCATTTAATTCTGATGTTTCTGTCTAGTTTTTGTTCAGATGATCTGTCTATTGAAGAAAGTGGCTTACTGAAGTCACCTCTTATTATTATATGATGTTAATCTGTGTCTTTAATTTCAGTAGTACACTTTTTATGAAATTGGATGCATCACAGTGTGTGGTTCATACATGTTTAGGATAGCAATGTCTTCTTATTTAACTGTCCCTTTGAGTATAATGGAGTGTCCTTTTTTATCTCTTCTGATTAGTTTGAGTTTCAAATGTGTTTTGCCAGGTATTAGGATAACAGTATCTGCTTGCTTTCTGATCCCATTTGATTGGAGTACTTTTATCCATCTTTTCACTCTAAGGTCACACTTCCCTTTAAAATGAAGGTGTTTTTGTAGACAACAGATAGATTAATTTTGTGCTTCAATCTTTTCAGCTGGTATAGTTTAAAATAATAAAGAAAAGTCCTTGAAAAAGGAACAAAGTAATTTAAAAACACAATGAGCCATGTAAAGAAGTAAAAAAGGAGTATGGATCCTGTATGCTATTGTGTTGTCTTTGACATTTTGGGCTCTTGATGAAAGAGCAAAAGCTGCTAAGAGACTTAGTATTATAAAAGCTGATAGACTAAACCAACCTATATATTTTAAGGATATTTTGACTTCAAAAAGAAAGTGAAATGGTGTATTGCTTTGGAGAAGAAGTTATGCTTTTATAACCACAGGAAATGAAAAGTTATGGATTCATTCCATGTCAGTATGGATCAGCTTTGATCAGGGAACACCCACTGAATATCCTGGCTATAGATGTAAAAAATAAACCCAGAAAACTGCAAAACATGTAATTTATATTTTAACTGCTCAAACATAAAACAAAAAAGTCATCCATGGCTAATTTGTGTACAATACATAGTCTATACTTGTATTAATATAGACATGTATGTTACTTTTAAAAGTTTATGTACTTTCAGAGCGAGGGGACCATACACCAATAAAAATGGGTGGCCCAGATGACCCAACATATCAAAAACACTTCTTTTGCCAGTTTGTCAGAGTTCTGCATCCAGAACAGCATCAAGGCTGCTGGTGAGATGGTCCAGCCTCACAGACT